TCTCTGTGACAGTTCCACTCCTTTTTTACCTGACTCCTCCCACTCTGTGAGTCTCTGGGTCACTTTCAGATAAATCTGTCAGACTTTGATCACTTCTAATGTGTCATGGAGAGTTCATGAGACATAACACTCATAGTCACTACAGATGGTGAAGTAGCTCTATTTAATTTTGAGGTTGGATCAGAAGAGTTTGACTTTGTGACTTTTGTAACGGATCCTCCAAAGATCAGAAGTACACCAGAGGTTCAGCCACTCGATTTTATTGTCTGCATTCATGAAAAACAAAGTCAGTGAGACCAGGGCTTCCTTCTATTGACTGCAACTCCAGCCCGGGAAAATCTAGCTGCTTTTTGTTACAATGTATAGAACGAACAAAAGAAAAGGCAGACGATATCCGGCGAGCAAACTGATATTATATAATGTAAGGGGAACGATCATTTATCTTCAAAAACTGTACAACAACGTACCTGCATTCATGAAAAACAAAGTTAGTGAGACCAGGGCTTCCTTCTATTGACTGCAACTAAAATTCAACCGAAAAAAGAAATACAAATTCAAGATCTTTCAAGACGCACATCACTGTGTGCTTACCATAGAAATATATTACAGCTCATTTATAACACGTTTACATCATGTTCAATCGTTACTTTTTTTTTAGCAAATCATGTCATTTTTATTTACATACAATCGTATTAAAGTAATAATTTGTATTTACTGTGCGTTTTATTCATTAAAATATTTTTATATATCCGGAGCGTTACTAAACACTGCTTACCTCCAGCCCGGGAAAATTTAGCTGGAGGTACGGCAAGCGCCAGCGCCCAAAAAGCGCAAACGCAAAAGCAGTCATGAAGCCCATGGTCAATGAAGTGAATGCATTCAGTACACATTTAACATCAAACAAATAACAAAAAAAAAGGAAAATAAAGATTTTGGTAAGAATTCACTCTACAAAATGGAGCATATATTTAAACTCCGTTACACCAGCGTGTGTTCATCATGTGTGCTTTTCAGTCTGATGAGGCTCAGTCTGCTCCTGGAGCAGCTCTGGCCTGATCTACGTTTAACATTTCAGCTGGAGAAATAAACCAGCAGACAAAGATTCACTCTGAACCTGTCATCTGCTCTGTGACTCCTGTTTTAATAAAATACAGCAAAAAAGCATTAAAATATCTGAACAAAAAGAACAAACAGAAGTAGAGTCAGTCATCAGTCCCTCCTATTGTATTTAATAAAAGTGGAAAAACTTTATTTCTAAGACAAAATGAGGCTAAAGCTGTGATCTGATCAGGTTTAAGGACCAGACTCCAGGAACAGAGCACATGATCTGTGAGCCTTTCTCAGAGCAGCTGCTTTATTTTTGGGGTTAAAGAGCTGAGTCATTTCCTGTTAGCAGAGTGCTGCCATGTTATGCTGCTGCTGCTTTTACTCTTTTTACTTTCACTTTGAACTTGACGGAGACGACGTTTTCCTCTCAGGCGAAGAAGAATATGAAGGTAAATGATCCGTTTTTGTTGCTTTGATATGTTTAACTGGCTAAAATCAGCTGTTGTAAACAGAAATCTGCATTAAATGATCCGTTTAATAAACAAACTTCAGCTCAGCTGAACTGAAGCAGAAGTGAATCCTCCATTTTATGAGACATCTGATGTGCGGCTTCCAGAAGCAGAATAACTGTAACAATATAAACTTAAAACACAAACACAACACGATGTAGATTAAGTCATATATATTCATTGTATTCTACATTTACTTTAGCTGCTAAACTAATTCATTGGCGAAATAAAATGCAGATTTGTGGTCGTAAAAAATCATCTCAGACTGAAAGCTGAGAGTTTAACTTTTTATCAAACTGTGCTTAATAAAAACCTTGTCCTGAACATTTAAAACCAGCTGAATGTGTCCTAAGAAGCTCTGTGGAAAGTCTTCGTTCTGCTTTTTGTTTTCTAAGTCCGACATATTTCCTGTTAGAGGAAATGAGTTGTTCCGGTGGTAAATGAGCTGCTGTCGTGTTATCCTGCTGCTACAGGATCCACAAACACTCCTTTACAGGCTCCCTTCGTTTTTCTAAGACTTTCTGGAGGAAAAAAGCTTGGGCGTATTCCTCCGTAAAAACTTCCGTCGTCTGTCTTCTGCATTCCTTCTCTAAACCCCGCCCTCCCTCTACTCTGATAGGCTGAATGACGTCAGTTAACTCCCTCCTTTACGTTTGAGTGACACCTGTGTGAGCCAATAGTTATAGAGCATCTCAGAAGATTAGAACAGGGGTGTGAAACTCATTTTTACGAGGCCTTAATGTTTCTGTGAACATTTGTAAATGTATCAGCTCCTGAAATAGCAGATGTTCTGTACGGTGTAACAGCAGCTGCTCTGTCAGCAGGACCAAACATTCTATGAAACTCTGAGTCTGTTAACTCTGAAATGAGGAAACTCTGAGTTTTT